GTGTTTGTGCACGGATTTATGCAGCGTTAGTTACATAAGGTATCATCATTATCTCAGCAGCAACAGAGACAACATCTTCAGCATCGATACCGCTTATTGGCGCGCATATGCCCCGATGATTTCGCCTCTGACCGAACATATAACGAGTCCATGCCCATGCCCATGCCCATGCCCATACCCATGGCAATGAAATGTTGTACGAACAACAATAATAGCTCCAGCAGCAAATCTCTTAGCTTGATGCCTATAATCCAAGTTGAGTGAATGGCTTCAAGCTCTCCGTTTCTGAGAAAGGCATTTGCAGACTATATTAAATATATTATGAATTATCTGTATTGGCCAACTTGATTAGCAGAGGTTGTCATCGAGATTCATAATTTAACTCACGACAAGTATAAGTGATTGCTCTAGTTAATTATCGTCTGTATGATGTTTTAATCAGTGATTGAATATAAAAGCTGAGCTAGGCAGCTCATCTTCTCTCTCGCTTAACTATGCTAATTTTTGCGAAAATTTAAGAGTGAGTCAAAGAGAAACTCAAATTGAAATCAAATGTATGTTTTGTATAATTTTTCCATGGCACAGCGAAATGGCTGCATAGACGACGCACGTGCTTGTTGTAGTCCTTTGTTAATTGCGACGAATTGAATCATGCTATAGACAGAGAATAAGGTCGCCCCGAAGAGACAGCCACGTGACAGTAACAATAACAACAACTAAACGAGACCCTTAAGCTTTGACCCTTCAGCCATCCGATGGCGGCAGTTGTATTCCCGCATTCCCCTCCTGTTTAAACAATATCGAAAAAAGAAGCAATAAAAAGATAGAATATATGTATATATTGTGCTGCTGCCAGCATTAGACGAGTGCCAACTGAAGCTGCCACGGCCAAGCAACGCCGACAACAATGCGAAACGTTAAATAAAAGACAACAACAACAGCAAACACAATAACAATCAAATGCATAATGATGATGGATTATCTCTTGTGTGGCAATCCCTGTGCAAAGCAAAAACAACACTCACAGCAACAACAGCAACAGCAACAGCAACAACAACTACAACAGCAACAACAATAATAGAAACTGCAGCTTCGCGGAGCTAAAAGTGCAAGCTGCACTAAAATATAAATAAAGGTTATTATACATTCCCTTTCTCTTCCTCTTTAACTATCTATCTATATAACTCGCATAAGTATTTTTCTTCTGCATTAATAATAATTAAAATTAGAGCGTTTAGTTAGGGGATAGGAGAGTTTAGTGACTATAAATTAGAGTAAATTTTACAAATTCTTCTTTTTAGCCGCCTTTAAATAATAAATATAATAAATAAATCAAATTGTTTTTAAAATCCCTTCCTTTAACCTTATGTATCGTCCGATAAATTTTCTATACCCTCAATCTTCTGAACACCTCTCCCTACCTAATATAACTTGTAGCTCTCTTTCCCTTTTTAAAAAGGAAGAAGTTGGTTTTTATACTCATTATAATATCATATATTTAAAGATATCGTTTTGTACTTTTAGGTATGTAAACACTTCCTGCTTTAGATTTGAATTCCGATTTAAACCCTTTTAAAAAGTGTAGCAAAATTATTGTTGGTAATTTATATTTGGGAATAATCTTAAGCATATCAGAACTACATATATGATTCCTGAGACCAGCTCCAACATGCAAGAGAATTTTATTTTCTATATAAATTTATTTATATAAATTCATTCATAAATTCACACTATTTCAATCATAGTCAGTCCACATAGGCTAATTTTAAACTCGTTTCTCTTTTCAAAAAAAATGAAGTGTATTCAGATGTACTCAATTATGTACAGTATATATATCTATACCTTATAAATTATTAAATTTTAAAACATTTTTACTTGGAAATTATTGATCTGTGGCTGGCATAAAGTGGTGAAGGAATCGCCTTATAGTAGTTGAGACCCTGCGACTAATCACCAAGGCAATTTAATTGCCGGCTAAGACACACATTTAATTTGGGACACGTCAATGGCTACGAGGCAATGAAAGGAAATCCATGACAGAGACAACGACAGCGACAACGACAACGCAACGACAAC